CGACCCCGAACACGTGTTAATGGCGGCGACTGGGGGGAGGGAGTAGAAAGGAGTACATGGTTCCAGGGTGAACCCAGCGCCATGCGTTTCCAGACTACCCACTGCCGCCACACCGACCCCGTTCCGGGCTTCCCCTCCACCCCATCTCTCCCCGCCAACGTGCACACTCCCTACTCTATTGTTCTAGTACCACACGGTCAGGGGAGGTGCTGGGGCTAGAGGAGGGCTAAGGGGAAAAGAGTCTATTATCGGGGTCGCTTTTGATTTCTTGTAATGTGCATTTAAGGCTATCATAATTTCTTTCTATGCTGCTAAGTTCTTGAGAGCGTCTATTTGTCCTTCACTGGCTTTTTCAATGAGCTTGCTCCCTATTTTCCTCCAAGATGATATTTGATAAGGTCCAGTCAGAGGTAATGCAGGTTCATGCATAGAAATCCAATGTAATAAGCCCCAGAGTCTATTTTTTCCTATATTTCAGTTTTGTTCTTTAAAAAAATGGGTGATAGCTTTAGCTGTTTAATTTCTGGAGAAATTCTCTCCTGTTGGGAATACTTCCCTCCCATATTGCCAGCTTTTGGTCACCTCTGTGTGCTGAAGCTCTGTTGTCGTTTCTTCGTCCTTTTTTCTTCTTTTTTGTCCCTTTTTGCAGAGGCAACCCTGCGCGCTGTATTCTTCCTTTTTTTCCTTTTTGATTCTGGCAAAATGGACACCCCCGGCAGGCATCCCACAGCTTAATGCTCCTGGTATCCAATGCCTGTTGAAGTCCTGTTAGGGGCAACCATTTGGGGTGCTGAATAAGGCACGAACCCCAGCCTGCACTCTGTGAGTGTAGGAGCAAGATTAAGGTTTATTACAAAACACTTTGGTTTAAATACAGCGCTTAAACATGTCACATGATCTCTCAACCAATGACATCCAAGCACTCTACTGCGCATGCATCAAAGCCCAGAGAACTACAAATCCCATAATTCCTTATTAAATTCTTCCTGCCCCAAAAAACTTCCTTGTATCATGTCACATGAATCAATGACTTTTCTGATTCTTCTTTCAACCTTTTCTGTATAGCAAGTCTTCTTGAATCCTAAACTGCACAGGGCAAATTAATGAAAAATTGTTTCAGTGCAAAACATATAACCAGTATTGTCTATGCAGTCCTTAAGAGATTTCTTTTAATATAGCCAAGAATTATACAAGGCATTTTGACTAAAGTACCATATTTAAGAGTTCATTCATTACCTTCCTTGACAAATATCTCTGCATGTCTTCATTCCTTCTCCAAATCCCCAAATAAAATCTCATTAACAGAAAAAAAAATTCAAACCAGCATTTTCAGTTCTTAAGTCCAGCAAAACACAAATTTCTGAGGATGGAAGAGGTAATAGCAGTATCAGCTTTACCATAACATGACTGATTATTAGGTTATGGGAATTGTCTGCAGGTCTGGTTTTATTCCCTTTTTTGTTACAGCTGTACCAAAACATGTGAAAAGGTCATGCAAGGCAGAGAAAGGTTAACAGAAGTTGTGATGCATCTATGGTATAAGACATGTTTAAAAATACTGGCTCAAGGTTCAAAAGTAGAGCCAATTTATAGCATGGAGATCTTTTAGCATTACTCTGAGATGCCAAAATAAAGTTGTGTAAGCAGGTAACATAATGGAACACTTCAGAGATTATCAGAGCCAAAATATAGAAGGAAACCCAGGCCAACAAATTGGAGGCTTAGACTCCCCTAAAACAAAAGGCTGAGTTTGCTAGAGAATTTTACTTTGAGAACACCTTGCTCTATTGGCCTTCAATGGCTCCAAATTTGTGTGTCTTCTCCATTTTTCATATCTGGAGTTTGGTAAGGCAAATGTATTACTTTAATAATTATCCACAAATCACTTGTCTGTTTGCCCCCAACTTATTAAAGACATCTGGACTACATCAATGACTTATCTTTGTTGCTTATTACATCTTCAATCTTTTGTGTCATCTGTGAGTATCATTAATAATTTTGTACAATGTTTGATGTAATTTAAAACAAGCATTAAATAATACATAGCAAAAAACAATTCCTAAAATAATGCCTATATAAATATACTTGTTCAGTTAGGATCCTCCATTTACTGTTCTGGTTTTGGCTGCCAGTTAATCAATACTCTACTAATTAACAGATCATATTGATCAAATTAGTATGACATATAAAAAGTGTCATGCAGCAGTAAGTAAAATGTTTGGAGGAAGTCTAAATATTGCATAACCACTATTGTTATGTAAACAGTATCGTTTTTACTAAGTGTGTTGTTTACTAAAACTGTGGTCGGAACTGTTTGTCCTATACCCATATTGACCAACATAAGTTCTACTGATTTTCTTTGATCACTTACATATGTTATGAAGTTTTTGCCTATACAGTTGCTAGCCAATAATCATCTGGATTGTCCTCTTTACCCTTTTTACTGCTAAAACTTCTAACAAAACATCCCAGTTTCAAATTTACTGTGAACAGACCATAGCAATACAGATAGTTGTTTGGTTGGTTTGAGTATGAACACTGAATTGAAGTTATCTGAATGTGTTACTTTAAAGCTAGTTTTATCACTTTATGAAGTTTGGGCGTTCTCTGTATACTTCAAAAATACCAGGGCATTCACAAGCCCTGGTCCTTATGGGAGCTCTCCACCACCCCAATATCTGTTGGAGGGACAACACAGCAGGGCACAGGCAATCCAGGAGGTTGCTGGAATACAGTGACAGTAACTTCCTTCTCCTAGTGGTTGAGGGCCTAATGAGCAGAGGTGCTATGCTGGACCTTGTCCTTACCAATAAGGAGGGGCTGGTGAGGAATGCGAAGCTCAAGGACAGCTTGGCCTGCAGTGACCATGAAACACTAGAGTTCAAGATCCTTAGGGCAGTGAGGAGGGCACACAGGAAGCTCATTACCCTGGACTTCAGGAGAATAGACTTTGGCCTCTTCAGGGATCTCCTTGTTAGAGCGCCATGGGATAAAGCCCTGGAGGAAAGAGGGACCCCAGAAAGCTGGTTAATCTTCAAGGCTCAAGGTCCTCCAAACTCAGGAGCAATGTATCCCAATAAAGAGGAGGTTGGACAAAAGTATCGGGAGACCTGAATGGATGAACATGTTGCTCCTGGACAAACTCAAACACAAAAACAAAGCCTACAGAGGGTTAATGCATGGACAGGTACCCTGGGAAGAATACACAGAGATTGTCTGAGCAGCCAGGGATCAGGCTAGAAAAGCTAAAGCCCTGAGAGTATTAAATCTAGTGAGGGATGTGAAAGCCAAAAGAAAAGCTTCTATAGATACACTGGTGATAAAAGAAAGACGATGGAAAGTGTGAGTCCTCTGCAAAAGGAAATGGGAGATCATGTTACCCAAAACATGAAAAAGGCTGAGGCACCCAGTGACTTTTTTGCCTCAAAGACTTCACTGGCAACTGCTCCAGCCACACTGCCCAAGTTGCAGAAGCTGCAGAAAGCAAATGCAGGGGCTGGCATAATGTAGAAACACTGTCTGTAGATCATGTTTGAGACCATGTAAGGCACCTGAAGGTGCACAAGTTGATGGGACCTGGTGACATGTATCCAAGGGTCCTGAGGGAACTGGCAGAGGAAGTGACTAAGCCACCATTCATCATATTTCTGAAGTTGTGGCAGTCCAGTGAAGTTCCCACTGAGGAAAAATAACCCCTATTTTTTAAAAGGGAAATAAGGAAGATGTGGGGACTACAGGCCAGTCAGTCTCACCTTGATACCAGGCAAGATCATGGAACAGATCCTCCTGGAAGCTATGTTAAGACACATGGAAAATAAGGAGGTGATTGGTGACAGCCAACATAGCTTCACTAAAGGCAAATTGTGCCTAACAAATCTGGTAGCCTTCTTTGATGGGGTTACTGAGGGGGTGGATGAGGCAAGAGCAACTGACATCATCTACATGGACTTGTGCAAAGCATTTAACACTGCCCCACATGACATCCTTGACTCTGAATTGGAGAGACATGGATTTGATGGATGGACCCCTGGTGTTAATGGTCACACTCAAAAAATTGTGAATGGCTCAATGTCCAAGTGGAGACCAGTGATGAGTGGTATTCTTCAGGGTCTGGAATTTTGACTGGCACCGTTTAACATCTTTGTTGGTGACATAGACAGTGGGATTGAGTGCAACTTCAGCAAGTTTTCCACTAACACCAAGCTGTGTGGTGTACACACTGGAGGGAAAGGGATGTCATACAGAGGGACCTTGACAGGCTTGAGAAGTGTGCCCTTGCAAAGCTCAAAAAGGTCAACAAGGCCAAGTGGCAAGGTCTCGCACCTGGGTTGGGGCAATCACAAGTACTAATACAGGCTGAGCAGAAAATGGGTTGAGAGCAGCCTTGCTGAGAAGGACTTGGGGGTGCTGGCTGATGAAAAGCTCAATGTAACTCAGCAATATGTGCTCACAGCCCAGAAAGCCAATTGTATCCTGGGCTGCGTCAAAAGCAGTGTGGCCAGCAGGCGAGGGAGGTAATTCTGCCCCTCTACTCTGCTCTTGTGAAACCCTACCTGCAGTGCTGCATTCAGCTCTGGGGTTCCCAGCACAGGAAGGACATTGACCTGTTGGAGAGGGTCCAGAGGAGACCACAAAGATTATCAAAAGGATGGAGCACCTCTCCTATGAGGAAAGGCTCAGAGAGTTGGGGTTATTCAGCCTGGGGGAGAAAAAGCTTTGGGGAGACCTTAGAGCAGCCTTCCAGTACCTAAAGGGCTACAACAAAGCTGAGAAGGTCTTTTGACAAGGGCATGAAGTGATAGAACCAGGGGTAAAGGCTTTGAATTGAAAGAGAACAGGTTTAGACTAGACATATGGAAGAAAGTCATTACTGTCAAGCACTGGCACAGGTTGCCTCACCACCTGCTGTGGATGCCCCATCCCTGGAAGTGCCCCAGCAACCTCGTCTAGTGGAAGGTGTCCCTGCCCATGGCAAGGGGCTGGAACTAGATTGATCTTTAACATCCCTTCCAACCTCAACCATTTCATGAGAGAAAAAAAAAACTTAATTATTCAGTCTTTTGTGTTTTACTAGAAACATTTCCACCATTTCTATAGATCCATATGATTCTGAGAACTAACATAACCCTTCCTAAATGTACCACATTTACCCATGAGAGTAGCAATGGATGAGTGTTCTTTGCAGATGTAACTGCCATTTACAGCACTGACTTACATGAAGTAGAAACCCTACATAAAATATTCCATCAGACTGGCTAATGTGTTATTCCAAGATGGTGTATTGTAGCAATAAAGAGCAGTGACTGTTCTGAGTATCTGTTGAGAGGGCAGAGTCAGCTTAAAATCTAGCCAATTTTCACAAGTTAGTTAAAAGCAGTTCTACATTTTCCTACACATCTCCTAAATGACTTGTGAAACTTATTTACATAAACATTTCTTTCCTGCTAGGTGACAGATGCACACAAAAGAGACTGACTTAAATAAAAACAGTGAAGTTAACCATAGACAAAAGTGCAGGCAGAGTAACCAGAGAATTATTTTTATTCAGCATTACTTGCAACAGCTGGTGTGACTCAATGAGAAAGGTGTAGTTACGTTGACCCTGCTTCTTTCAGAAATAAATGACCCATGGAGAGACATGAAGAAGCAAGCTATAAGTCAGTCAACCTTCATTCTGTCAAACCACACCTTCCTGTATAAAGGATTTCTGCAAGAACATCATAACATTGCAACAACTAGAAGTATTTACTAGACTAAGATTATCAACAGTTTATAACTGGGATAGCAGGGGACTTACTTAGATCTAGAATTTCCTTTTATATTCCTCTCCTTAGTCTCATTCACTCCACACCTTTTTTCTTTATATGCAGACAGTAGAACATTCATCTTGTCTAAGAATTGTCATTTTCTTTTTTTGTCCCCCAAGTAAACTTGGAAAAAAGATTTCAACTCTTTCTGCATTACAGTTGTTCATAAAAGGCTAGTAGTACTTGTGTTTTTTAGGTGTGCTTCACACAAAATTATGGTTGTTACGCATCTTGTCTGAATCACCACTGGCTATTAGTATTTATAACATTATGCTTTCACTCATCAAAGGAAGAGCTACACAAATGATACCACAAATACTCTTGCTGAGATCAGCATAAGTTAAAATAATAAATTTTGCATAATTTTCACACTGCAGATGCTGAAGTATATTCCCATATGGACTGTAATCTAAAACATTATTTTTCAGTTCTCAAGCTAATTTCAAACAGTTGCTTTCTGAATGCTAATTTCAGGATCATGTTGGCAGATCCATACAAAGCATGTCCTGAATGTCACCATAGTTATTCTCCATTTAGTAAACAGTATGAAATAAACCCACATTCAATGGCAATAATGCAACTTAGACCAATCCTCAGGTACTCCTTTAAGTGTTTTCTCTTCATGTACGCGTCTTAAACTCTGAGTAAGCAAGGTTGTAATTTCGTTTCTGGGTTGTCACTGTGGGGGACAGCATGCCTTTTAAGAAGTGCTCAAACTTAGCAGCAATTTTTCACTCCTAGGACCACCACTGCAGACAAGGCAAGAGATTCTGAGCAAAGGGAAAAAGTTGCCTTCCTTCCCTTAGCAGATGTGGTAACTGCATCTCATGAGCACCAGATGGAGGCTGTCACTACAGCATCAATTACTGGGAGAGGAAACTACAACTTCTGCAAGGCCCAGAGCTATTTTAGGAGGATTTTCTGGATGCTAGAATCAGACCAGGGTGGATCCAATTTCCCTGGCAGTAAATGCCATTTAGAGGGTGGAATTGGAAAGGGATTGGGTTTATACATTCATGCCTCAAATCTTATTCACATTAGTTCTGCCCTTCTCTTCCTCAGTTATTCTACTTCCCATAGCCTAGAGATTTCTTGTTTTCTTTTTAAAGAAAAGATCTCCAGCAGCACATACATTTTTTTTTTAACAAAAATCAAAGACTTTATGTTTGCAGAGATAAATTGAAAGGTCAGAGCAGGATGCAGACCCATCCCAGTGTGCACATGGTGAATTTTGGTGCCTGTGCTGCTGCCCTGAGCAGCTGTGTGCTGTTGCTGCTCAAAATCGCTGAAACCACAGAAGAACAAGGTGATTTTCGTGCTGTTTGTAACAAAGCCCTGAGAATCATATATTAAACTTACTGATTGGGAAGCAGCTTTGAGTTAGGGCACTGGAGGTATTCTTCCATCTTCTCAGGCTGGGGAACAGTAACATAATGTTGGACCTTTACTACAAATGGAAGAATTCAAAGGCTTCATATACCTATCCTTGCCCAAAGGCTTCATTTTTGGAACCTCTAAAAAACGTATTTTACCAGAACACACCAGAAGAGATTTCTACCCCTTCTGCTCACGGATCACATCTGCAGGGCAACTGATAGTGACATCTACGTAAGCTCACAGTCACAGCATCTGACAGAATAACTCCTGCAGTATTTGAATCACACCACACACAGTGCCTGCATCTATTCCCTCTGAAGGACCCCAGTCCAGCCCAGCAGTAGACACTGTTTAGCAATGGGACAGCTGTCCCATGAGTCCTGTTTAATTTATTGATGCAAGGAAGCATGGGCACGTATTAAGTATTGATGGGTCCTTTCCTTCCCAGGAGTAAACCTGCCAAATTCTTGCATCTCCTAATACCTACCCTGGAAGAGGCTCAGAGCACTGAGTTTCGGGAAATATAAGAGTAGATTCTGCCATTATTATTCCAAGTGTCAAAGTGTAGCAGAGGCATGTCTCTCAGCTCCTCTTAATCCCTGGTGCACAAAAGAGAAAAAAGAAGAATGTTCTCCCTTTCTATTCAAAGCAATTTCAAATGTTAGATGTTGTTATTCAGAGCAACTTCAGAAGTCAGATGTTTAGTCACAGAGCAGTAGAAAAAAAATTAAATCCCTGCTCCAAGAAAGGGATTCCAGTGAAGCCTTTGAAGCTAGTGAAGTAGAAGGAAGTACCGGTTTCTCTGACAAAATTTTACTGCAGGCTCTAACCATAGCTTATCTCTATCTACTGAATTTGTTTACAAGGCTTAGCTTGACATATTAGCTCTGGTACAATTTCCAAGACTGCAGGACAGAAAGAATAGGAAAAGAGAAAGTAAGTGGATGGAAAGTTTACCCATTTTGTCCCACTAACTGAGACAGAGTGTACAATGCACTGGCAACAGTATAGTCAAAAGACGATGGGAAAGAAAAAGAAGGGACAGAAACAGATAAATAGACAATGGGGTATAAAATAAAGGTTAAAGTATATCAACATCACCCAGAATACATGTTAGTAAACTGTGTATAACCTTGAAAATTGACTGCTCTGAACGGATGCAGTATTCCACAGCTCAGTCATTCCGTGTTGCAGGGATAACTAGGTAAAACAAGTACACACCACTCTAATTAGCACTTGGGCTACTAAATTTCAAATAATCTCTAAAGTTCTGGAACAAATGCCCAAGTTTACTCGGTTAAACCCAATCCAAAAAAGAACTTAAATGACACTTTGCTCAAGAATGGAGCTGACACCAAATATTGCTGTACAGATACAAACAGAAGATAAAATCTGTGTGGGGAAAAAAAAAGAAGTGAAAACAACCCTTCAAAATATTATAGCCTTGCATTTGGTCTTTATTAACTATTCCTCACTGTGTAGTTGTCTTTGACCAAATGAAGCTTAATGAGATAGCACAGCATTTTTTCACCACACAGAAAATTTTTGGTCTCTAATTTCATAACGTGTCTGAACTATACAGAAACCCTTGTATTTAGAGCACTGCCTTGTAAGTTTGTCTCTGATACAACCCAAGAAAAGAGTTGTCTGTAAATCCTGACTAAGTGTTTCAGTTTGAGCAAAACTAGAGGTATGTTTGCAATATTGTTCAAGTATTTGTAAACTAAGAAGTTAAGTACCAGTAAGAATCAAATTTTACAGTGACTGTTAAGAAAAAAAAAATTAAAGTCCAGCTCAAAGTCCAGCTTGCTAAATGGAATCACTGGGGACCAAGTCAGAGGAAGCAGATGTTGTACCCAAGCTTTTTAAAAGAATGCCTGTTGTTTCAAGAGGAACCATTAAAGTGTTGCTTAGCTATCTCAGCCTTTTCTTTGCCTCCATACTTTCTGTGTGTCCTCAGTTATAGTTCATAAAGGCTGAGAAGTTCAGAAAAGATTGGCAAACACACGAAGAAATTGATGGTGGTGGTGATGGTGCTGCATCCAGCAGGCGGCCGGTAACTAGTGGGGTTCCTCAAGGCTCAGCATTGGGGCCAAGTCCATTTAATGTCTTTACTGATGAATTGGATGAGGAGATTGAGTGTACCCTCAGTAAATTTGTGGACAACAAGTTGGGTGGTAGTGTTGATCTGCTGGAGCGTGGGAAGACTCTGCAGAGGGATCTAGACAGGCTGGATTGATGGAGACCAAGTTATGAGGTTCAACAAGGCCAAGTCTTACACTTTAGCCACAATAACCCCATGTAGCAATGCAGGCTGGGGGCAAAGTGGCTGGAAAGCTGCCCGGTGGAAAAGGACCTCGGGGTGCTTGTTGACAGCAGCTGAACATGAGCCAGCACTGTGCCCAGGTGGCCCAGAAGGCCAGTGGCATCCTGGCTTGGATCAAGAACAGTCTGGCCATCAGGACCAGGGCACTGACTGTCTCCCTGTATTTGGCACTGGTGAGGCCACACCTCGAGTCCTGTGTCCAGTTCTGGGCCCCTCACTACAAGAAAGACATTGAGGTGCTGGAGTGTGTCCAGAGAAGGGCAATGGAGCTGGGGAAGGCTGTAGAGAGTAAGTCCCATGAGAAGCGGCTGAGGGAGGTGGGGCTGTTTAGCCTGGAGGAGGCTCAGGGGATACCTTATCACTCTCCACAATTGCCTCAAAGGCAGTTGTAGCCAGCTGGGGGGTCGGCCTCTTGTCCCAGGCAATTAGTGACAGGATGAGAGGACATAGCCTCAAGCTGTGCCAGGGGAGCTTCAGGTTGGACATCAGGAAGAATTTCTTCACTGAAAAGGTCAGTAAGCACTGGAACAAGCTGGGTGGTGTTGTTTCAGGTTTTGTTTAGTTTTTTTGCTTTAAAGCCATTTTAAAAACCATTTTACCAGCACTTAGCATGCCGGAAAATGCTCTTCTGAAACTTTTAGTGTATGTTGTTTCACCTTCTTTGCCACAGGTGACAATCTACATAAGCAATGTCTTTTTTTGCCTGACAATAGCAGATTGAGGTTTGCATGTCCTCCACACAGTTTATGCCCAAGAATTATTATGCTGCCTACCACTGCAAGGTAGTTACTCGGTCTAACGCAAGGGAGTCTAAAGTAAAGTGCAGTTTAAAGGGAGAAAGCCTGAGAAGACAAAAAGAGGGGTTGTTTGTGTAGGCTGCTTATCCACAAGAAGGCAGTCCCATAACATTTCCTTTTAAACCACCAGCCCATTTCACTTTCTGTACATTATATGTGCTCAGGTATTCCTATACATGGTGGTAGACAGATCAGTGGCATAATGCACCTGATAACTTCTGAACTGGCCTATGACATTTTTGGTGGAGAATGTCTGATCAGAAGAGGATAACCCTTCGAGGAAACTTTTTTTTTCCAAACCACTTTATCACAATTAAGTGCATGTACTTGCAGTAAAGAGAGAGAATACATGGAAAAAGACATTTTTCACCAAAAGTGCTTTTATTTCAATACTGGAAAAATAGAATCCTTTAAAAATAACATTTACAAAAGCCTGTGAGAGGAACACACTGGTTTTGAGTGTTCATATATTTAGCAACTCAGATCTGCACAAGGTCACAACAAACTCCCAGAGACATTAAATCTAGAGTCTTCTCAGAGACAAGATTTTCTCCTGTTGACTTTTTGCAAATGCTAAATTAAAACTCTAAAGAAAAGTGAGACACTCTTATTCCTCTATTCCAAGAGTTCAAAACTCTAAATCAGTGCAACGCATTTAATTTTAAGAAGTCACTTTGCACTTTATCGTTTTATTTGTAACAGTGATGCTTTTACCCTTAATAACTCAGTAGTGAGTTAAACTGTCCAACAGATATCACAAGACAAGGCTCCTTATAAGGAAGAAATAATTCATTACCAGGGTCTATTCTCAGTAAATGTAAACTGAATGTGCTCGTTCCCTGAGGAAATACAGAGCAGCTCTAATTCACACAGCTCTAGGACTGTGGCACAAACAATGCCCTCCCCTTCAGCCCACCTGAGAATGATTTCATACGCCAAGTATCAAGCCACAAAAAGACAGAGGACACAGAAATGAATGAAGAGGATTTTGCTCAGATTAAGATGTTTGTCTCCTTTCATCATTCTGGAATACTGGTAAAGCACACTTAGTACTTTAAGCAGATTTTGCTAAATGCTTTAGATTCTAGCCTCTGACTGCAGTTTTAGAATCATCATAGAATTTAATTAAAATAAAAAGCTGCACTTTGAAAGGGCTCATTCAGTGCTGCTGGTTTATTTTCACTTTAACAGAGAAACCCTAAAGAGCTGGTAATATTCATCCTAGAGTATTTGATTTTAAAGGCTAGTAAAATGCAGAAGTTCTTTTTAAGTCCTTAAATTAAGAATAGTTTCTGAACATACTGAAGGAATCTATTTTAAGGAAACATTGTAAAACCAAAGGCATTGACCAGTTGCACTGCACTAACCAATCTTAAGATGATAACTTCATCAACACTCATCACTACTGTCTGCTTTTCCTGCGTTTTGAATTTCCAGTGTCACTACACTGCAAAGTGCAGTGATATTCACTACTTTTACCTACACCAGTGTTTTTCAGCCTTTTGCATGATGTTAGAATACATTTGGTATTTGTAAAACCTATAGATTTCTAATAAGAACTGAAGTGCCTAGTTATCTAAAAGGCACACAGAAACAGGATAAAAAAGACTTGTTTTAGTACTGTAAACTCTTTCAGTGGGCCAATCAGTCTTTCTTGTTTTGATTATTTTAGTGTGGTTTCCTCAAGTAATTTTTTTTTCTTTCTTAAAGCTTCAGCTCTAAGAACTCTCTAGCCTCCCTTCCCATGTCTCCTTTTCTATCTTTGACCCCCTACCCTCTGAGAGTTTAAAAATATTTTATGCAGTGCATGAACCCAGACTTTTGTTCAGCTTCAATGCAAGAAAGTTTCATCTTTTCAGATAAGATTTAACCACCGGGGTGGCTTGTGCTGGCTAGCATTATGTTGCCTGCCATAATTTTTCTACATTTAGACCACTGTGTGCTTCCTACAAAGACAACTGTGCCGCTGTATGCAATCTTCCTTTTAAATCAAACTGGTAGAATGCTCAAGCTTTTGCTTTACTGGAATGACCAAAAATGACTGCAAGTGGTCTAACACTTTAGATTATTAGGAAGGAATTTCACTGAGTCGTAACCAAGGGTGTTTTCCCATGCAGCTCATAGAATAGCCTTTGATTTCATGCAGGAAGTTAACCAAGTTACGGCTACAGTTTTGCAGCCATTCTTTCCCCTCTGGGTAGCTCTGGGAGACAAACTTCCCAAAAAAGCGAAGTAGAAACAGGAAAGGAATGCTCAGCTTGGCAAGGGCTTTCTACAAGAACATCCACTGAAAGAAAAACTAACTAGCAATTAAAATACAGTTTGAGTATGGCTTAAACACCTTTGAATTTCTTCCCTGGAGTCAACACATCTTCCCACTTGCTTTCAGAAAGCTGAGGGAACTCAAGGAGCAAAACTGGCTGGACAAAAGAACTTCAGCCTCAGACAAGAATTTGCAAGCTGTTCAGGTGCTATGCCCATGCAGCCAAAGCCCATGGAGAAGTTTACTTGGTGCCTGTGGCAAAATGACAAGAGCAAAGATGCCATTACCTCTTGGTGTGCTCCTCAGCCCAGAAACAAAAGAGCTTCACCAGCATCCTGTATATCTATTAATATTTAAAGACTGAATGGGAAGCAGCTATTCCTGATGAGTGGTAGACAGATGAAAGAGGTGGATCTATGAGCTTTTCCACCTATTTTTCTCTGGGATTTCTTTAGCAAATTTAAGATTTCTGCCCAGATCTGAAGAGGAAAGACTAAGTTGAGATAACTGACACAGGCTAATTCTACTTATTATGGATGTTTTGTTGTTGTCATTCCTCTTACTCTTCTTATTTCTTGGTTTTTACTGTAAAGCTTCTTTACTATGATGAGAAGAATTCTTCCAGTGGCATTAGTGTTATTTTTATTGCAGCGAGTCCGGTAAAGAACTGCCACTGCCCAATTAAGCAAAGTATTTTTACTGACTTGTTAGATGCTTGTTTAAAAAAGAAATAGTGGTAGAATTGAGAAGAAAAGTTGCTTTGAGAGGTGAACAATCATTAATCAAGTATGGGATGAAAACTAAAAGTAACTTTCCTCTCCTCTCATACACATGTAATCATGAAGTTCTTTTTTTCCACCTCCTTTGTATACCATTTCTCTGCTCTCAGAAATACTGAGATCAATGCATTAATAGTAGGAGCATTACAACCGCATCTCTGGCCTGCAGCATACAGGCTCCCTAACACCTCCAAAATTTCATTGGAGTTTAGTTTATAAATCCAGTAGAGCACTTGTAAAACACAGAAAGAAGACAGTTAATATTCCAACAAAGTATCTATGAATTTATCAAACTGGCACCTCAAGAGTGTTTTGTTAAGTTCATAGATAAAAGCACAAGCATCACTTTAAACTCACTCCATACCCAGAAGGTAGCTTTCATGATCCAAAAGAAAAACCCAAACTTGTAGTATATATATAAAAAATAAACTATGCAGAACATAGTTCTGGCACTGCCTGCAGTTTAAACTCCTTGGTTAAAAAATATTAGCCGTTTTCTTATTATGAGCAACTGGCACCAGAAGATTTTAAAAAAAAAAAAGGCTCCATACCTAGATGTAAATAAATCTCTACCGATGAAATTTCAAATCAGTGCTACTGTCTAGGAGCTTAAAAGCATAAAAAAAAAAAGGCCAGTACTTGCATATTCTAAACCATCTTCAGGATTCTGCCGATCTTTCTTTAAAAATCTAAGTCAGCAAGTCTGATATGGTTCATTCATTTTCTCATCCATTTTTAATGGAAAATGCAGTTACTGCAAAGCTCTTCAATCCCTCGACCAGAAAATAAGCGATTGTTCCAGTCTGGGGGGTTGGTGGAAACAAAAGCAGACGGCGAGTTTGGAGCTAAGTCGAAGTTGTTTGCACCTCTTTAAATGTTATGCCTACGTTCCTCCGCCGCATTCTCTGACGGAGCCGCCTCCCGCGGAGGGCGGGTTGCGCTGCATCACGGAAAATGTAGTCTGTCTGGGAAAACCAGCCTGCCGGAGGGCAGTCACTCCAATTACGGCTTCTGCAGGGCATGGCATGCGAGCAAGTGCTGCTCGCCGGGAGAGTAAGTGTTGTTTTCAACCGCGAGTCGCCAAACAATGCCACTTACAAGCTAAAGTTCAAAAATATTTAATTAATAGAAAATATTTGGTTTTAATTTTGGTCAATAAAAATAAAAAAACCCTTGATTGCTCTACAATGACGCATCAAAGCCTCTCTCGGTAAATCCCACTGCCGAGATAAAATTTCAAAATATTAAAAATATTTCTTTTTAAAATGTAATTACTAAAACAAAAATGCTTTTTGCTCCACAGTAACACGAACACCAAAGAGCCCCTCTGCGCAAGGAAAGGCGGTGTGGGCTGTGTTTGCTACTCCCGATTCTTGCCGTGAGGCAATTCCATGGCGCGTTCCAGGAGCGGCGGAGGCGGGAGCGGCGCTCTGTGCTGCGGAAAGCGGCGCCGGCGGGATCCCGAGAGACCCTCAGCATATCTATATATACACAAATACATATATTTTTCAGGAAGGACACTTAATTTGAGGCTCCAGCACACGGCCCCGAATGGCGCGGTTTTTTAAGGATCGCCGAGAAACACCCCGGCCGTCCGGTCTGTCGCCACATCCTCACGACCCACCTGGGCAGACGTAGTGCCTTCATCGCAATCCATTTGACTCACAGCGGGTCCGCACAGCCCGGCTCTTCACCCCGGGGCTCCTGGGGCGCTCTCAGGCCGGGACATCCGCAGAGCCAACCGGGAGCTGGCACCGGGACGACGGCGCTTACCGTATTACCTATAATCGAGGGAAAACCAAAAAATCACTCCCCGACACACCTTGGAGTTCGCCTCACTGAGGAACGTCAAGGCCTTGTTATAGGCACGCGCCGGAGCTCCTGCCACAGAAGGGGCTTCGTCCGTCCCGCCTCTGAGGCAGGAGCCAGGTCTTTTCCGTCCCCGCTCCGCCCCAGCCGTTACCATATTTCCCGTCTGCAAGGCGCGGATCACCCCACCCTTCCGGCTTTCCCGGCAGAGGTGACCGGGTTCAGGCCGCGGCGGCGGGCCCCGCCCCCGCATTCCATTCCCTATATGGCGGTGGAGAGGGGGTGCCGCAGGCCACGCCCCCCTTTTCCCACCGCTCGCGCGAGGGCGCACCCGGTGAGGGCGTGCGTGACATCAGCGGGAGAACGGGCTGGGAATGAGGGCGGTGGGAGCACCGCCTCCTCCCCCCCGCCGGGGCCGTTCTATTTACGTTTGTGAGCTGATTTGCATAAGGTTACTCCCGCAGCACCGCCCCCCGGGCCCCGAGACCCCGCCCACTTCGCCAAATTAGGGCAGAGCGGGGCGTGTCCCCGGCGCCTCGCGGGCGCTCACCGCCTTCCTGGAGCCGTTTATACGGTACAGCCACTTCCGCTGTCGGCTTAGAAGGGGCGCGATCATGGCGGAGCGCGGTCAGCTCCCCCACCTTGCCAAGCGCCTCTGCTGCAGACCCGGCTATGGCTCGGGCTGCAGGCCGGGGCAGCGGGCGGGTGGCGCCGGGCCCGGCGGCGGCGCGCTCTGCGCCGGATCCTCTTCCGCAGCCGCCGCCGCCGCCCTGGGGCTGCTGCCGCTAGGCAAGACCCAGAGCCCCGAGTCCCTCCTGGACATCGCGGCTCGCAAGGTGGCGGAGAAGTGGCCCTTCCAGCGGGTGGAGGAGCGGTTCGAACGGATCCCGGAGCCAGTGCAGCGCAGGATCGTGTACTGGTCCTTCCCCCGCAGTGAGAGGGAGATCTGCATGTACTCCTCCTTCAACACTGGCGCCGAGGATCCCGCCGCCGCGCCTGGCGGAGCCGCGGACGCCGCCGCCACTGCCGCCGACGAGAACCGACTGCCCTTCCGCAGGGGCATCGCTCTGCTCGACGGCGGCTGCGTCGATAACGTCCTGCAAGTCGGTGAGTCACCGGCCGGCAGGGAGGGCACCGGCGGCCGCCCCCAGGGCCGCGGGTCTCCCTCTGCGCGTCACCCGCCCGCCGTCCGTCCCTCCCTCCCTCCCTGCGCCGGCAGCTCCCCGCCCGCGGCCCGGCCAGTGCAGCCCTTCATTCCCTGGCTATACCGCGGGCCCGGCAACTTCCTCCGCCGATCTCCTCCCCCTCGCGCCCGGGACGCGCAGTGACTCCCTGGCTCCGTGACACGGACTCGGTCTCTGCCTGCCCCTTTTAACTCGCAGCCTCGCACCTCGCTGTGCCCGCTCCCGGCCCGTGTAATCCCGTTTGGCTCTGCCCCCCTCCCAGCGCCCACCCCCGATAATCCGGGTCACCGCCTTACCCCGAGCCACAATAGCGAGGAGATGCTGCTTCCCCATCCGGGGGGGGGACCGCGGGTGGAAATGAATCAGCAGAAGGACGGCCGGCGGGGGAAGGAGGGGCGTGCGGGTTGCGTCGCCGTCCAAAATAAAGACATAAAAGCGTTGCGAGATCCCGGCAGCGGGAGTGCGGGGGGGATCCTGGAACAAAGGCATTTCTAGGGCATCAACGGCGAGCCGGAGGGAGGGGGCGCGATCCACGCCGCCGGGGGTGGTGGGGCTGGGGTGGGAGCTTTGGGATGAGCCGCTTCGTGACAAAGAGACGGGGGGGGGAAGCGCAGCTCTTCCTCCTCCTGGAACAATGTCCCCTTCTTCTTCCTCCCCCCCAGCCCAGCCGCCTGCCGCTGCTCTTCACCCGCTGCGGGCGCCCCTGGTTAACTCCTCCCTGCCAGTGTTTAAAGGGCTGCAGAGGTGGGTACCCCCCCACGCACTTTTTGGGGACTGTATGCCGGGGGCGGCTCCCCTTCCTGAATGGAAGGTCAGCCGCCCCCGGCAGATAGCCCCCTCCGCTGGTGGGTGATGTTCTTTGTGCGACCCGGCCACTTTGTTCTCATTTTGATGTTGTTTATTTGCGTCTTTTTTTGTTTTCCTCCCAGTTTTCTGTCGCTTCCCCTCCTCCTTCTCTGAAAAGGGAAAGACAGACAAAAGAGGTTGCTGCTCGCCTTTTGTTGATGGCGGCGCCTCGGTGTGTGTATGTGTGGGGCGCCGGCATCCCTCCCTTCATCCTCCCCCAAAACCTCGGTCCTGCCCGCTGCGGGCTTGACTTGGCAGGCACCTTGCAAACGTGCCATCAGTTTTTTTGTCCAAGGGAAGACGTTTCCCTGCTCCTAGGCTAAGTGCCCCACCCTTCTGCCTAGGGGGACTTTTTTAAAAAAAATCTAATTAACTTTGTTGTAAGTTTCATCTTTTGGCTTTGTCTTTCCAAAGGTCTGACGTGCATCTGTGATTCCTCAGGACTAGCAAAACCAGAAGTAGGGCTTTTTTGGTTTGGTTGGCAGTGCTGAGATTTTTTTTTTTCTCTTTTGCTTGCACTTGATTCTGTTAGCAAGCGATGAGGAATGACAGGAGTGCACATAGAAAGGGTTTCTTGGCTGATTGCATTTAAGCCAGGAATTCACTGTGAAAATAAAACCAAGGGGCAATAAATAAAAGATGCAGTCTTCTCTTGGATTCAGACACCCAGCGTGGGCTTTGCTTTGCTTGCTTTCGGCAGTGGAATAGGTCTCAGTGAGTAGTTGTGAAAGAAAAAAAGTAACTTTTCGTATGTCTTCAAAGGGGGGGGCATTGAGTAATGCTGGCAAGGGTCAATGTGAAGAAACAAAATATGCATAAATACAACTGAGGTGTTGACTGCTTCTTCTGGAGCTCTTGTATGCATTCCAAACAAATGCTATACCTACTGCTGCAAATACATTTGCTTTGTTGTATTCCCCCCTCAACCTTATGTGAGCCTCCTTTGAAAGTCTGCACAAAAATAGTAGTGGAAACTGGTGATATGAAAGATGTCAGTTGTTTTGACAGAGGCCTTTGGCGAGGGAACTGTGGAGGACTTGGGTAGGCTGGGTCTTGCTGTAGGAAAGTTCTTGTGTAATTTGGGTAGGTAGCTGTATCATTAAGGCCAAGTCTTGCTGACAAGATATTCCTTGTGAAGCAGAAAGGTGCAACTGTTTAAGACAATTCAAACAGAGTAAGTTATATTGGGCAGAGAATGGAATTGGTTTCATGTAATATGGCTGAATATGTAGCATTGATGGCAACTTAAAATATTGAGTTTATGTAAGTGCATCTTTAGTGACCATATAAATGTTAACTTATGTTCTTTGCAGTATGAGTAATGGAAACTCTGTAAATGTTTACTATTGTACTATAGAAAAGTGCAGTTACCAGACAAAGTATGTTTTATTACATAATTTTAAGAGCATTGCTTATAACCTGAAGTATTATTATAAACAGGGAATGTAAGACTTGATTTCTGAGAGATGCATGAATTTCAATTGAGTGGTAGTTAAATGGAACTATTTGCTTCTGAATTTTACGTTTCAAATTTTCCAGTGTAGCCCTAAATAAACATTCTGACAATTTTATCATGGTAATTCATTTCAAGCAGGAGGATTTCAAAAACCTTGTATCAGAGCTTTGCTAAAAATCTTCATGTGATCCTTCGTGCCCCCAACTTAGTCTCATGTGTTTTGTAACGAAATCTGAAGTAAAAAGATGATGTCATATTAGTGATACACACAAACAATGTTCTTGGTAATCAGGCAGTAAAGTTGCCTGCTAGCCTATTTTGAAGTTGAGTGGTATTGTGGTAGTGTAATACTTAGCCTCGCTTAATTTTAAAACATTTTTCTCCAAAGAAGTTGGCTTCAGAATTCCATTTTCATCTAATTTATTGATATATTTCTAGCTTTTTGATATGCTTCAATTGGACATGAAGGATTTTCTTTTTTAGTTTGTTTATGTAAAAAAAAATAGAGAATGCAGGATCCTAAATCAAACCTTCCCAGCTGCATGAAGCAGCTCTTCTACCTTGCGTGTTTTAGATTTATTTCAAACCAAGTATTTTTAGAGAGGAGCCCCGAAGAGAAGATACAAGGACTCCTTGGAACAACATCTCAGCCTTGGCCATATTGATCAACATAACTGGTCTACTTTGGCCTTCAGTCGGGAGGCCTGGAGACTATAACACTGCTGTTTCCTTTGAGAACGCACGCAGGATCACTCTCGAGGAGAAAAGACAACGCAGAAAGAACCGTGTCTTGCAGAATATGCCACCTAAGGAGTCTTTCTGCTGTGCCTTTTGCAATCGGACATGTCTATCTTGTATTGGCCTTATTAGCCACCAGCGTGCTTGTAACAAATGTGGATAGAGCCTTTCCCAAATCTTCATTTGCGAAGCCTAGCCATGATACAGTCTAAGCAATGAAGCACTTTGTGAGTAAATACAACAATCTGGAAGGAAAATTAGAAATTGACTGTGTTTCATTTGGCCAAATTTTTGAAGATTCCAGGAGCAAGCAGACAGTTTTAGGTGGTGAAGTGTATATTTGGGTTCTGAGGTTAGTCTTGAATTAGTATACAGTACTGTATTGTCGTCACAGCTGTGGCTGTCAAGGTTAGAAAAAGGTGTGATCCCTCAATAGCACAGCTGACCTGGCGAGAGCCCTTAATGCAGCTATTCTAGGAGAAGAAAAAACCTTTGAACCTCTGCTGGTATGACTCTTGCTTGGGGAAAGACAGACTGCCTTGACTGTAGTGCTGTAGAGCTCAGCTCCACTGCTGTAGCTGCATCTGCATTATAGGAGCACTTAAAGTGGTTTTTGTTTGTCTGTTTGTTTGTTGGGGGTTTGGGGGGGGGTTTGTTTGTGTTTTTTGTTGTTGTTTGGTTTGGTTGGGGTTTTTTTTTGTGTTTGTTTGTTGGGTTTTTTTTTTTTGGATATGTCATACAAGTACTCCTACAGGATCCCTGCCTCTCTGTAATTTGAGGTCGGTTTGTTTTTGTTGCATAGACCCTGCTTGTGCATACAGGCCTTTCTTAAAGGAGTTACAGCCTTTCCATGGTAGCATGTGGTTTTGTAAACTCCATAGTCATGCCTCTTAGGTATGAATGGCAAGGGAGTGAGTTGGAGGGAAGGGACTCTTAAGGAAGGAGAATAATATGAAGACTTCATTGACTGGCACTTAGAACAGTTCCAGAATATAATGTTAATATAGTGAGCTAGAAAACTACCTTGTCTGTGGAATGGGGTTCAGCCG